TAAAACATAAAATACGAATGTTATGTTTAAAAATTAAAGACTATTCTTTTTTTGCTCTTTTGGCGTGATTTGCTCTATAGAATAAATCGCATAATAAATAAGTTAAATGTTTCAAAACCAAAATATTAATGTTACACCTACGTTAGAAATAATTGAGGATTTAAAAATATTTGATTATGATCAACCCGCGAATCGCCTCGATTTTCTAAATAAATTTAAAATCAATGTATTTTATACATATATATTTTAGATTACATCTAAATTTTTGCGTACTAAATCCAGAATGATTAAAAATTAATTTAAAAAAATAAAGTAAATGTTTATATAATTTTAATGAAAAACTGATAAAACAGTTGAAATTATTGGGGGGGGGCGCTAAAACAAATCTTGCATGCGGGCGCTGAGGACCCCAGGACCGGCCCTATATATATATATGTATATATATAATATGTGTTGTATATATATATATATATATATATATATGTATTGTATTTTGTACTAGTTCTATACTATTCTGTACTAGTATGTAAAATCACTAAATTATTTTTATGTATTTTATTATTGTTCATATAACATATAAATTACTTATGATCTTTGTTAAATTTGCATTAGATGAACTTGGTCCGAATGAATGTTGCGTAGAATTTAAATATTTCGATAAGCAGGTCAATTCGGTCATGGTGACCCTTATGCATGCTGCTGTTAAAAGAGCGCCAAACAAGCAGCATAATAAAAATGCGACCAATATACGAGTTTGCCGCCAAAATCTATCAATTCTGTACGGTCGTAGGTCATCAAGTGATAAAGTAGAAAGCCAATCTTCGTCCAATGCACTAAAATTATACAAAATAATTCTGATTAATTAAATTATTACTAATTTTTTTTTAAATATTGAGATTTTCAAGTACAAGAATTATAATTACCCTCGCTTTATTTCAATACTAAAAGAAAAAAAATGGCTAAGAATTGCGCTAAATATAATTGTTAATAATAGCGTTAAGAACGGATTTTATTATAACTCATCTACTAGGGAACCCGAAAAACGATGATTCAGCACTTACTCCGGAGGTAAAAGTTAAGAGATTTTAGTAATGTGCTTAATTAATTATGCTTATTGATCGAAATGTTTATATTTCGATCAATAAGCATAAGCATTTTTAACGAAAAAAGATATTCGTTACCAATTTTAGGTTGTAAATTTATAATAATTAAAATAGACAAATATTTATTCAAAACATTAAACATTTTTTATTCTGATTTTACATACTGCATTTCTTAATACATTAATTTATTAATCAGAAAGTTTACCGAATTGTGAGTATTTTAAATTAATTTTGTAATCCTATTCACATTTATCTGATTTCATAAAATAATTTTAACCCCTGGCGATCTTACACTCGAAATCCAATGTGTCTCGACATTTAACGCAGTTTTACAGATAATAAATAAATATTATTTCGAGAAACTTCAATGAATGCGAGAAAGTATCAAAATGTCCGAAGTAAATTAATAATTCCCTCTAACAATGACATAATTTATATAAAAAGGGTGAAGTATATTTAGTGATAGTTCCTAGCTAATTCCTAATTAGTAAACCAAGAAAAAACTCACGCAAGTTTGGTTTGCAACTTCTGCATTTATATAGCTATTAAAAGATATACGCAGCAACTTTTATCTGGAATCCTGCCATTTTATAGTACAATAGATTGAATTATATTTACTAATTAACCAATAGAGCATTGTAGATTTGCTAGCTATTTAGTAACATGAGAATATTCTTCATAATTATATCTTATAAACTGACTAATTTGACTGTAATACAATTTTCTGTTCAATTTTTTATCAATAATTTAATTACATTTATATATTAGTAAAGCAAATGATTTTCTGATAATGATAAAATATACATGTAAATATTTTTCTCAACCTCAAATCCTGCTGTGACTGTTTGAACTCCCAAGTAGCTAATAATTTAGTGCGCTCTGTGCACATTATTAATACGTTATTAATAAATTAAGAATAGTTAACACTGACAATGAGCAAATTAAAAACACAACTTCAATATCTCAAGCATTATCTGGCTAGTCTTGTTTTTGTAAATTATTACTATATAGTGAAGTCGCAAGTATTAGGTGCCATTTTAATAGAACGCGATATTTTGTGTAAACAAACAGATCATACTGTCTTACACTAAATATCATTATATATATATATATATATATATATAAATATATATATATATATAAATATATATATATATATATAAACCAACAATATATATAGCGCATGGTAACCCATGCGATAATGTTCGAAGGCAATATAAATAATATTAGCAGAAACAAAAACATCAACATTGACAGAAACGTTTTTACATTTATGGTCGATATTATAATTGAAATATTATCTTCGAATGTTTCATTTGCAGGAACAAATTATAGAGATGTTTTAATGCTTGTCGATTGTGATTAAGTTCCTGAAGAAGGACACATGCATATCCTCGAAACTTCGAATAAAATATGTAGTTTAAAAAATTTAAATGAATAAAAAAAATTGAAGAAAAAACTGGACTACTTATTAAGAGTTCGAAAATCATAATATGATTTATGTCTCTCTTCTGAACATAAATTTTTTTGTATATGTTAAATGAAGACGTTTCGGATCTATTTACGTTCCATCATCGGGTTTCTCCCAAAAATGTTTGGGAAAAAACATGAATCGAATCAATTTTGTCTCGTGATTGGTTTTGCATTATATGGTAAGATCAGTTCAAGATAATTGCTTACTTATTACTATTTCTATGAAAAACATTTTACATGATCAACGCGAATCGAAAGTTCTTAAAATCATCCTGATCGGTTATATTCACAAATAAATACATAAACTTCAATATTTCTGTGATATCAATTAATTGGTTGATGAACAAAAAATCAAACTTTTAGTGTATGGCATCGTGCCTTGAGGCATATTGCTGAAACTTCCCGTGCCAAATTAAAATTTTGAAATTTGAAATATTTTCGATATCCAAAAAAAAATTTTTTTTTCAAAAACATTCGTTTCAACACAAGCAGAAAGTTTTTTGAATCATTCAAATCGGATGCTTAATTTCTTCAAAAACTGCAATTTTATGCACATTTAGCTCCGTATCTCCGAAACGGCTGGACCTGCATTTGCCAAAAATACTAATCACCACTTCTCCCCATTATTAAGTATTGAATGTTTTTTGGATCATTCAAGTCGGATGCTCCGTCCTCTCAAAAACTCGATTTCTATTTTTTACACTCTTTACTCTGTAACTCCAAAACGGCTGGATCGACTTTTGCCAAAAAATAATTAGAACATTCCCTATTAGTAGAAATCGAATGTTTTTTGAACTGTTGACGAAAAATTGAATCCATACATATATACATGCATACACGCACACGCGCGCACTCACACGTCCAATTTTTCTAGTATTCAAAAATGTTCAGAAACCTTCAAAACGCGATTTTCAATTTCAATTTTTGGGCGATTACAATAACTTACCCTGCGGGAAGTTAAAAGACAAAAAGTTCAACATTTAATGATTTAGTAGTTTCAAATCAAAACTTTTGAAAATATTAATATTATTTTTTTTTATTTTAAGAGTAGATATAAGAAAATAGGATTCAGTTGGATTTAGTTTTGCTTTAAAACAGTGCGAAAGTTTTCAGATGCTGTTATTTATAATAATCCCTTGTATTTATATATAATTATTATATTCGTATGAATGAAAAAATAAAAGGATTTGTTACGGTGCACATGAATTTCTTACGGTACAATGAATAAATCAAAGGTTATTATGATATATGTACATGAATAGCATAATATTTTATCAATTTTGTAGCCATAGCAACTGAGTTGTATAATCAAGTGACTTGATTTTTAGAGTCACATTGTCAATATCTAGCTATTATATACTGATTATCGAGATTCAAAAATCTAAATTAAACTTATTATGTTGATGATATAAACCGATTTATACCTTCTAAAATCATTAAGTGTGCATGGTAATATGGGTAACAGTTTTTATCATTTTTAGTCATCATTTTGTATGCAGTTTTCTATGGAAACCTGATATTTTGCAGATATTAAGTTTAATACAAGACGTCTAATACGAGAGTAGCATCTATTATTGAATATAGCAAAGTGAGTGAGGATAAAATTCGTATAATCGTTCGATTCATTTTTTTTTCAATGCAAAACTCATTATTTATTTTGCACATAAAATTTAACGGAGACATTAAAATTTAAATTAATAAGTCGGTGCAAAATTTCTTACCAGTTACCAGGAAAAGGTAATCTGTTACAGTAAAACTCCAATTATCCGAATTAATGGGGACCGAGACCCATTCGGATAATCAAATATTCGGATAATCGGAGTTTTTTTTTTAAAAATTGCCATTGGAGAGAAAAAAAGTTACGTTTTGATATTGCACTATTTTTTGATTGAATTAAATGAAAGAAACATGACATTTTCACATGTTTTAAATATAAATAAAATGTACTTAAACGAGTTAAAAAAAATGTACAAGTTTAGAAATAAAAATCATTGTTTTGTAAATATCTCCGTCAAATCAAAACAAACAATGTGCCTACACTGGCTTTGCTGGTGGAAGAATAATAGCGCACTTAGACTTTTTTGGACATTTTTTTTCTGAAAGTGATTCGGATAATCGGCGATTCGGATAGTCGAAGCTCGGATAATTGGAGTTCTACTGTACTTTAAAAAGAACAATCTTACCAAAGTTCTTGTGAAACATTTTTACTTCACTAATTTATATTATTCTTAAATACGATTCTTGATATTTAAGAATTAAAATAAATAATGATGGAAAAAATTAAACACTTCATAAATTATATTGTTACTGTATCAAACGTATTAATTAATTAATCAATTAGCTTTATTTTTTGTGTGTGTTTAATACATAAGTTAATTTTTTTATAGCAGTGAATCGATGAATGAATCAAGTTCACGCAACAATATGCACAGTGAAAACGAAAATGAATCAGAGGACAATCCGACGAATACGACAAAAGCTTTTGAATGTTATAAAGATGAAGATGGTATGCGAAAAGATGAAGAAGGTCACGATGATATGATAACGGTCAAATTCATAATCCCTCCAAAAAATAGAGTTTTTACTAATAGTTACCATGTTAATTTGCAAATAACAGAGGTAAATTGAGATTGAAATTAAAATCCTTTAAAATGTTTTTGATATTTTTAAAATCCATTACTTTAGTTAGATAAACAAAGGGTTTAACCCTTCTTTGCATGATTTTTTCTGTTTTAATAAAAATAAATCAGGGTGATGTAATTAATGCTCTAGATTAAAGGAAAAATATTTAAAAAAATCCTAATGTAAATAGAAGTATGTATTATGTAAAAAACAATATGGTGGAAATTTACATCATCATGCATTAACACATATCTAGCTCAGAACTATATAAAATATATTGTTTACTCAATCTTTTTTACTTTTTATAATAATTTAAAAAAAAACAATCATTATTTTTATTTAAGCACAAACTGATACCACATTTACTGAATTGACCCATTGTAAGCAGTCTCTTTTTACGTTCATCTCTTTCTTGAGCATTTTTTATAAACATTCCAAGAGTTTAAAATAGTTCGATCAAATAGATTAAAAAATATGCAAATACCACATTTTAGACCTCTTTGTTATATGATTTCTGCCCAAAAAGCTATCCATAAGAATGAGATCTATACTTCTCTCATATGATTATTGTTCGAACTTTGGGGATCAGTATGATCTTGTGCTAGGAATTTTGATTACTGACATATAGAATAATATACCAAAGAACTTATACAAATCATAATCTGTTTCTTCAAAAAACAACACAAAAAAAACATTTACAAAAAAATCTTTGCCATGCATTACAAGTGGAACTACTGCATAGTGATGTAAATTTCCATCGCATAGTTTTGAGAACTTTATTCACCGTGTTTTGATATAAATTGTACATAAAACAACAAAAACATGGATACAAACCCTTTTCTCACTCATTTTCACTTTTACTGTATTTTTCATCTTCGTTTACTTCCTTATAACAAATTAAGAACTCGCTCCTTTTTTCCAGTCACAACAAACAGTGAAATGACAAGTTCTAGTCCTGGTAATTAACAGTGACGTTTGATATTTTTTTTAAAATTGCATTTTGTTGTACACAATAGTCGTTTAAAATGTTGCCAGCAAAAACAAATTTACAGTACAAGGGTTTTTAGTATTTTTTTGTTGACTAAATATTATGATTGAAATTTCCATCGCCATGCAAAGAAGGGTTAATATATTAAACAAACTAATTAATAAATTGCAAACTACATATATAATGCCATGTGCTCTGCCAAAGAGCTATTGATTGATTCAACTTGAAAATCTGGACATTTTAGTGCGAGGTGGGTTCTCTCCCATTTTACGATTTATTTTACTCATAAATTTGAAAAATGTTATTAGTTCAAAAATTAATATTTTTCCTAAGTTGAACTTCAAATCAAATGCAAGAAGTAGGTTTGATATTTTGTTTATTACATAATCAAATGATAAATTTAATTTAAAATTAAGATCATTTATCGAATGCGGGTAGCCACGAGGCTAATAGCTGCATCTTCTGACTATGCTCTTGGAAAACGGATAGACAAACATTAAAACCACATGGTTAACTGAAAATAAATTTATTATTCTTATTGATATCTCCAATAATTGAAGTTCCAAATCTTTATTAGACATTAAATTTGATTAAATAGAAATTTAAAGAAAAGGAAAAGGAAAGAAAATAAAACGTCTATTTTGCATTCCGGTCTCTTTTAATCCTGTTTATAAACTACAATGACTTTTTTATCTTTTTAGGTTATCAACAGCTTAAGCAATATATTCAATATGCCACGAGATTCAATAGTAATAACACATGAAGGTGAAGAGGTGCCATTTGATGTTAAACTTCAGCATCTTAACATCGATGCTTTTGGAATATTAACATTGGGTCTCACAAATTCTAATAATGCTGAATTCAAAGTAGATGATTTGTATAAAGATATGGCAATAGCCGATATTATTACAGTACATTGCGAAGCAGACCATTGCGATCCATATGATTTGATAGTTGAAATAGAAGACAAGCGCATTATTAAACCATTTACTGGAGGTTATAAAAATAAAATAAATAATATAGAATATCATCATGCATTCACACAAACTGGACCGCCAGCTTCAAAAATATCTCCATATCTGTTACAATCGAGAGATTGTCAGACAATAACTAGTATTGATGTAAATCAACAGACTTCTTGTACGAATTCAACGCAAATGCAAAGCGAGCATATTTGTATTCCATCAGTAACAAACAAGATATTAACTCCAGGAAAATATAAATCGTATGAAGAATTAGAACGCAAGAAAAATAGTTGGAACAAAATTGCCTTGTTGCAAAAAAATATTAAAGCATATATATGGTTAAAATTAATAAATGAAACATCTGCAAAATACAGAGAGTTATCTTGTATTGATCAGAATATAGATATGCAAATTAAAAATGATTTGCGTAAGGAACGCATGCATGATATTGTCGTACAGACATATCCACGTAATAAAAACGATTTATTAATGTTACAATCTGTTATTGCAAATTGGCACCAGCAAGAAACAGAATCAATTCAAAAGATGTACTCTGGGGCACCAAAGCATGCCGAGCTAAATATGCTGCTTGAAAAAGAAATAAAAATGCTGCAAGTTGTACAAGCGCGAAAGAAAGACTCCATAGAAGAAAATAACAAATTGAAGGACTATAAAATATTGACTTTATCACAAAAACCTGTTACTTGGACTGGTTATAAAGGACTAAAAATTGAAATGGACACTTTAAAAACTCAATATGCCCGACGTTTATCGATAATTTATAATAGCATTAGCAAAGAAGAACCAGTGGAATCACGATTAGAAACTCTTATGTCCTTGCGTTCAACCCTAGAAGAAAATCCAACAAATATATCGATTGATATAATTGAATTAATTGATCGAGAAAGTGAATTGTTAATTCGTCAAATTAATGCGAAAGATATTCAGATTTTGCGCAAGCGATTAAAACAATTATTGATGAAGTATATGAAAAGTACGAATACTTTTAAATGTTTAGAATCTGATTCGAATTGTTTGTCAACAAAAGATCATCATATATGTAAATACTGTTCTCGTATAAGACCAGCTAAAATGATATCATTGCATTCATGTACAAAGTATTTAAATGCATGCGCTTCGTGCATTTCCATGGTGCAAACCCAGCAAAAAAATTACGGTCCATTTGCTAAAATGTTGCAGGAAGTTCGATGCGAGGAGCAAAAAAACAACTCTTTGCGGTCCGTAATCTTCATTATGAATGTAGTGGATATGCAAAAGCTGGTTGATACAATTTGGCACGGTCAATCGGCGTTAAGCACTAAAACAGAAAAGCTTCAGGCTCCTAAATGGGACCGAAGGAGAAACTGGTCGCCGTGGAACTGCATTATATTGACAAGAGAAGAAACATGCGCACATATGAAAATAACAGATTTAGAAAAGGCTTACGACCATAGCTTCATCGCATATGTTAAACTTAAACATTTGCTGGCTAAAAACATGTTTAAACAACTCGCCGAAGTTGACGAAAATTTTAAAGAAGCGCAATGTCAAAACAACGTACATTAACCAGGAGTTTAATCGGTTTCAATATATTACATACGGTTTTTTTAGTAGAAATATTCTAATAAATCAAACAATTAATAATTCATTTATATTCCAATAATAAAAAGGACTCGATCATTATATACCTAATTTTGTGAATATTTATTATTATAATAATAAATATTTTAACTTAGATATAAGCTGTAAGTATTCTAGAAATCATATTAACTAAATCTAAACTAGTATGAACATTTCTCAAATAACTTATATAAATTATTGAAATCAATAAAACATCAAAAATGTTTTACTTAATAATTTCACGCTTTAGTATTATTTATAATATATATATATATATATATATATATATATATATATATATATAGTGCCGGTCCTGGGATTCTTAGCGCCCGCATGCAACTTTTTTTCTAGCGCCCCCCCCCTATTAATTTTAACTGTTTTAACAGTTTATAATTAATTAATTTTTTAATTATTCTGGATTTAGTACTCAAATAATTAGATATAATCTAAAATCGTATAAAATATATTCATTTTAAATTTATTTGGAAAATCGTGGCGATTATAATTAAATACTTTTAAATTTTCAATTATTTTTAGCGTATGTGCAATTATAATATTTGGGTTTTAAAACATTTTACTTATTCATTATGCTATATATTTTATTGAGCAAATCATTCCAAGAGAGCTAAAAAAACTAGCTTTCCATTTTCAATCATAACACTCGTATTTCATGTTGGATTTTTTAAATTTTAATTTAATTTAATTTTTCATCATTTACAATATCCAGAATTACGTCGTAAACTTCTTTTTATTGATATCGTAAGAGCCGAATTGTATTCATCCAGGCTTTCCCGTTATATTCAGAGTAAGAATTTGTTGTTTTAAAGTTAAATTTTAGAAGTATTGTCCAAAAATCAGTGAAAACTGTAAAGAAATTACACATTTCTTAAACTATATTGAAAAAAATCGCATTATATTTTATATGTATTATTTCCGCATAGTTAAAAATTTAGAGTATGGGCACCACTAGGTATGAAAAAGCCTTAAGATTTTCGTTCCAAAGTAAATTTTGCTTTTATTTTTCATATTTGTTCCATTTCCATAACCCTAACTACGCATATCTTCAACATTCAAAATTCATCAGATGCGAAACATTTGCTACAAAAATAAAAGTTACAATTCTATTCTTCGGAGTAAACATGCCATTAAAGCACTGACTACCCTTTTTTCCGAATTTAATCTTTCGCAGGTTTGCGCTTATGGGATTGACACTAGATGATTTCTTCTTTGATTCCACGGCAACTTAAAAAAAATGAATGAGAAGATTAAGCAATAAATAGAGCTGGTATTTACTAATTTGCAGAGTCATTTATTAATCGATTAATTGCTTCTACTGATATCACATTGCAAAATAAATATGCTTTTTGTGTCTCCGTATCTCTAGTTAAGTTAGATTGTTTATTATTATTTATTAAGTATTCTAGATTTTATATAAATAATTCCAGATTTTATATAAAAAATATAAATATTATAATATAAATTTAATTTTCGAAACTCGTTTTGGCGCCCCCTAAGACGTGCGCCCGCATTTTTTGCATGCATCGCATGCAAGGCAGGACCGGCCCTATATATATATATATATATATATATATATATATATATATATATTATATATATATATATATATATATATAAATATGTTCAAAAACCTTTGAAACGAAAGATATACAAAAATGTTCAATTTCGATTTTTGCGATTTCTATAACTTACCCTATGAGTTAATAATATATATTTATTTATATATATATATATATAAATAATTTATTTATATATATAATGTATATGTGTATATATTTGTATATATAAATCAAGATTTTATTTTTCCGCCTCGACCAAACGCACTATTGAACAATGATAACATGGAAAATCAACAATTTCATATCAACAATTTTATTTCTAGAAAAATACAATATTTGTAGCACTGTATATTAAATAAGACATTACACTAAATAAATAAACGCATTAAAAAATTTCTCCAAAACTGGTGTGTCCAGTTTCTTTAGCATGTGATTGTGCCTGAATTTGTCCTGTTAGAAGTGCGTCACATTGTAAGCATTTTAAATTAAATTTATTCACATCAGTAAATTGTTTCGATATTTTTGCTTCTTCAGCTAGCTCTTGCGCTAATTGCAGAATCGACAAATCTTGTGCAGGGAATATGGTTCGAGGTAATGTGTCCTAAAATTACAATTAATAAATACCGAAAAATCAACATATCTATGTCATACAGAAAACATGCCTCATTCGATTCCATGTACAAAGGATCGTAGTGTATCCCATCAAATATTAAAAATACGCGAGAATTATATTTTTTGTCTTCGCCAAATCTGTTTATTATCGCATTTTGAGTATCAACTACCGCAATTTCGATTCCATAGAATTCACTCAATATGGACACTTCAATAGCGCCGCCCCAAGATTCAGGTCTCGAAATCCATTGACAGTATTCCTTATTTGGTTTACCTAACAGAGCTGTTGAGTATGTGTTAGGATCAGCAGAAACATGCTGCACAATAATTTGTCGCAGATAATTCCCAATACTTAGATCAATCTTTCCATTAACTACGTAACCTGTTAAAATAATTTAACAATTTATGCCCCGAATTCATCTAATGCATTTATTATTTGGAGGGGGTTAATGGGTGCCGAAACACTATTGAAACACTTTCTAAAAATTAAATTTTGTTCTGCTTCAATAAGGAAAAAATTAAAAAACTGAAATTAAATAAATTTAAATTATACACATATCTAGTGGACTCTATATACGTTGCCCAATGGAAACGTAATTCCAAATTCAATTTTTTAATTGATCATGTGGTTAGAGATGTTTATATGAGAAATTATTAAGAAAATCTATTCATCACTTTATAGCTTTCTTGTGTGCAAACTTAAAATAAACTTAATCTCTCTCACACACACACACACAAATATATATATATATATATATATATAAGATATGATGAGAGTTTTGTCAACGTTGATACATGTTTGTAATATTTTTGCAGCCCAATCGTTGAATTAAAAAAAGATTAAATAACAAAATTATTTATTCCATTAAACGTTTCGACACTTGATGTGTGTCATCATTCAGTAATCTAAAAAACATAACATAAATACAAAGTTGATGATAAATATAAATATATAAAAAGGAAAAAATTATACATACCAAGCCAGGAAAAACAACAGAAAAAAATAATTATGATGTAAAATTGATTGAACACTAAATTTGTGCAAAATAAAAAAATAAGAAACTAACAACTCTGTTTCTCTTTCCCCTTTCGTTTCTCACAAACCGCTCCCACTCCTTCATTACACGTGCGTGGCTACACTTGCGTTGTAACCTTGATCAGTGTCCATAATGCACCGCTATTAATAACATGAAATATAGGAGGGCAATATGTGCTCCTTCAATTTCTCGTTTCTTAATATAATAGTATTTTATTATTTTTCACAAATTTAATGTTCAATCAATTTTACATCATAATTAATTTTTCTGTTTTATTTCCTGGTGGTTTGGTTTGTATAATTTTCTCCTTTTTATATATTTATATTTATCATCAACGTATTTATGTTATATGTTTTTTAGATTACTTAATGTGCCACACATCAAGTGTCAAAACGTTTAATGCAATAAATAATTTTGTTATTTAATCTTTTTTTAATTCGACGATCGGGCTGCAAAAATATTACAAATATATAAGATATATATATTATATATTAGATGGCAGAGTCTTGGATTTGTAAAGATTTTGTAGAGGTTCTAACAAAGAATCCAAAAAGTAATATAAAACAAAACAGTTTTTTTAAAAAAAACATTACTTTATTTATTTATTGTCGGCGTTTCGGAACTAGGTATGTTCCATCTTCAGGACCATCAGTTTGCTACCAATAGTTCGTCTCATAACATCGAGAGAATAATACTATTTGTCTCACATAACAAACTCAAAAAAGACATAATTTTAAGAAATTTTGAATTACAAAATTTGTTTCTTTGTCTGAAAAGAATTTATAGAATTTGTTAAAAACTTTTTTAGTGAATAAGTGTTAGTGAAAAAACAATCATACATGTAGTAATTAATTCAAATTTTTTTTCAGTAACTTTTTCTTAAAACTTTCTAAATTTTTTAACATTTTTAATATTTTGTTATATAATCGACTCATTTATTTTTATCATTTTCATTTTGATTATATTGTCATATTTCTGTACATCATTTTTTCCACAATTTTATTCATTTTATATATAAAAAATCCATCATCTTTTTTTCTTAAACATATTGTTTGCTTAAATCTTATCAAGATCATGTTTCTTGACAATTGTCCTGAAGATGGAACGTACTAATTTGTTTTGTTAATAGTAAATAAATAAAGAAATGTTTTTTTTTATTTTGTTTTTTTTTATTTTCATATCTCAGGCAGATGGTTGATAAACTATTCATATGTTTTTTGTTAGCTGCCCCTTTCACTTACATGCCAATTTGCAATCAATTAGTTATTTTCATACTAGACATATTTTTTATGGAAAAACAATGTTTGCTGGGTCAGCTAGTATATATATGTATATATATATATATATATATATATATATAAATGAAATAAAATGCAAAATGAAATACACAACTTGTTTGTATGTGAGAGCAACTACACAATGCATTTTAACAACAATACAAAGAATTTAATAACAAACATTCATAATAGCAAATCTTTCATATAGGCGTTTATGAATTTCCAATAAAAAAAAACAATCACTAACAATTGCCTCATATATGCATTGAAATGAACAAACACATTTCTTTTTTCGAATGCTAATGAGAGTGAAGAAGTGTAAACTTGAGGTGATATAGCCAGCGACTCTCAAGGAAGCCAAATGAGCTTCATATTATGCATTAAAATTGTCTTTGCTATGAGACACAATTTTATAATATCACTAAAAATAAGAGTTTGATGAGAATACACAAATATATAAAAACAGTGTCCAATGACCATAAAAGAACAGGACATTTAAAAAGTTTCATGACAATAAGTATTTCCGTAATATGATTTTGATTTTTGGAAGTTAAAAATTGGATTCATGATATTTTATTCATAAATCTTATCAAAATGGTATGATAAAAATAAATGAGTATATAAATATCTCAGTATTGAGTATTGAAAAATATATAATAATGGAAAATTGAGCATTTTCATTATAAAAATTATTTTTTGTTACACTCAATTGATTTTCTAAATAAAAATTACAAGTATAATGATGCTAATAATTCATTTTCGAATTTCTCTTATAATTTAATATTCAGAATGCTAACTGCTAACTGATGCAGTGCTTCTTTTAAATACTATATCAATATTCAAACTAAATAATTAGTTTGATCAGGAATAATTAAGATATATAATAAATAGGTGAAAATCACATAAGAAAAGTTTTTAATTTATATTTTTTGACATAACTTAGATTTGAGTGTATCTTCAGAAGAATTTAGAGATGCGGTATTTACAAAATTTACGAAAATCAGCAAATCATGCCTTGTAACAATAGAACAATTTAAATGCTTGAACCTGATTTCAATACAATTTTCGTGACATTGGAGACTTCCTTATCTATAATTGTAACTAATAAAGATGCTTTGATTGAAGGTACATTTCCAGGTTTACAAGCCAATTATATAAATTATAGATAGCTATGTAAACAAGCTATTGTATGGACAAAAATTAGATAGCATGTTATGAAATATACTTTTCAAGATATAATAGTCATTACCTGGCAATCTAATATCGTTCAAATCAATCGACCATATTGTCGAAGTCGCAGATTTTGTTTACTATTCTATTGAATTCTTAAAATTCACTGGGTATATCTGGAAAGCCATCATATTACTTGCAAATAAAAATTGGTTGAATAATCATTTTGCTTCAGAACTTGAATGTATCAAAGTTATGCACTGGCATGCAATTATTTCTGAAAAAAATCAGGTGCAATATTATTGAACCTACCGTTTGAAATAGGATATTTGAAGAAAAAAATATTCTTTTCAAATGGTATCTCTTGATTCAATTATTCTATTCAAATATTTACCATTTTCAAATAACTTGTCACTCACAAAAAAGTATAATAAGTCAATGACAATCAATTGGTGAATTAAGTCAAGAATATCCAATATTGAAATGGTTTGGCTACCTATCACATTTGTTCTTGTATATGTATATATAAGAGCAAATTTAAGTTTTTATCTATCACAAGTTAATTTGTAGTATATGACATTCCTCATAAAAACAAATATAGTTATAACTGAATAGATAGTATATTTTTCATATAAAGACTCCCAACCACTTATAATCGATTAAAAAAAAATTGATCTAGTATTCCACAGAATAATATTTGTTGAGTCCACATGTTCGCATACAAAATACGTACAACTATTAAGGTAACAGACAATGCAAATCAACAACATGCACAGATAAAACAGCAGACTATATTATATGTAAGTCAATGTGTAACAATTGACACTGAATTAAAATATTAGATTAAAATCATAGGTCAGGATTTAATTATCACAGTAAAACTTAAAAAAATAAGTCTAAATAAAATATATAAACTATAAGCACAATTTGTGTCAGCCTGAAGCGATTTGCAATGTTTAAAATTGCCACACGCTATTAAATTAATCAAAATAATAGCAATCGTTTGAAGCCAATTAGAAATCGAGCAAAGAATTGTTTTATCTCATTTTGGAAAATAAATTATAATAAACCATTATATATGTATCGAGAATTAATTAAAACTACATAATTAAAATTCATTAAAAATAAATTAAGTACATAACTGTGCTAAAAATAAAAGCAATACAAACCAATGCTAGTAAAAAGACAAGAATTATCAGCAGGCACCACTTTCTTCATCAGCACACCAGGAACAGATTTATATTGATCAATTGAACATTCACTAACACTCTCAATATTTTTTACAACAATAACAGTATCTCCTGAATTCAAATCACTCTCCTTTAAAGTCTTACTCTCATCAGATAAATCTAATGCTTTAGGCGGAAAACCCGATAAAATTTGCAAATTGTGTTTAGATATCGATGTACAACATGAAAGTTTCAGTAAAAGATCGCCCAGAGTCATGGAAGATTTGAGATCTCTTAAAATATGCTGTCCTTCTTTTGATTTGACTTTCAACACGTAATTAGACATCTTGACGTTTTTGCTAGTAACCAATAATTTGAAGATAATGTTAGCTGTTCAAATTCATATTCAAGTAGATATATACAAATCAATATCCTCTTGGGTAATCAATTAAAAGTTTAAATATATTTTCCTTTCATAATATAAGTTATCATAATAATAATTTTTATTACAGCAAATATAAAAAGTATCACTTTGAAAAATATTCAATAAATTAATACTATTCAAATCGCTATATTAATATATCTGTTAACGAGAAATGCCATTCATTATTATTATATTATCATATTGTTTAGGATGCCATTATTTGTGACGTTAAGCAGGGAGCAAAATCCATAGATACGTAGATATAGGGTGCGTTCGACTTGGACGCTTACGCGCTGTGAGCGCTCACGCTTATAAGCACGAATTTTTAGCGTTCGACTTGGCCGATAAGCGCTCAGAATCGATAACTCAAATCCGTTCGTTTTGGAAACTGTGAGCGTCAATAAGCATCAAAATGGCGGCAACTGGCGGTAACGGTAATTGTGTAAATTTTATTACTTTCTGGATCATTCAGCGGGATTATAAAGAATTTAACAATTAATAAATAAATGAAATTTCGTTTGCTTATGCTTAATTCATATTAACATTAAAATTAAAATTTAAAATTATTTAAAATTAATTAAATTTAAAATTAATTAATATTAATATTAATATTAAAAAATAATTGTGTTATACAACTTGGCATTTTTGCGGGATTATAAAGAATTTAACAATTAATGAATAAATGAAATTTGGTTAGCTTATGCTTAATTAATAGTAATATTAAAATTAAAATTTAGAATTATTTAATATTAATATTAATATTAAAAATAAATGTGATATACAACTTGGCATTTTTGCGGGATTATATAGAATTTAACAATTAATAAATAAATGAAATTTGGTTAGCTTATGCTTAATTAATAGTAATATTAAAATTAAAATTTAGAATTATTTAATATTAATATTAATATTAAAAAATAAATGTGATATACAACTTGGCATTTTTGCGGGATTATATAGAATTTAACAATTAATAAATAAATGAAATTTGGTTAGCTTATGCTTAATTAATAGTAATATTAAAATTGAAATTTAAAATTAATTAATATCAATATCAATATTAAAAAATAATTGTGATCTACAGCTTGCCATTTTTGCGGAATTATAAAGAATTTGACAATTAATAAACAAATGAAATGACAGATAGTAAAAACAACTGACGCTCACGCTCACGCTGCCCTACCTCCGTGGCGTGAGCGCGTTTGAGCGCAAAATATGTGCTACGAGCATCCTACGATGGTGCTACGAGCGTACTTATGTGACACTCACAGCGCCAAGTCGAACGATGAAAGCGCGCTCACGGCGCGCTCACAGCGCGTAAGCGTCCAAGTCGAATGCACCCATAGATGGCATACTTCATAGATTAATAAGCATAAGCATACTTCGCGTTCGCACTGTTGCCGGCTCGTTGCCGTTTTTAAGAATTACTACCAACTTCAAGGCTAATGTTCCAATGTATATGTCTAGGTGTATATGTTCTAATGCCTAATGCATTCTAATGTCTTACAATGTTTCTTGACATTTTCTTTTCAATTCTTAAAAGGATTTTAATGTATCCAATGTTTGTTTTAAAATAAATATCTGTTAGGGTTCATATTATTATGCCAAAAGGTATTGATATATTTATACATATAAATTTTATATTGAAACATTTTAGTTGTTACAAGTTGACAGTTTTGAATTTTAACCATGGATATATATTTATATTTTTCTTAAATTTATAACTAGATTTGTTATTTCTGAATTTCGAATACTTTTTAATAATAACATACGACACATCACAAATCTCTGTTTGTTTCTGTTTCATATTATGAAATTGTAAAATATTATTTTAGCCTTTGTTTTTTTTGTAAAATAAATAATCAAAATAAAATATATACTTCACAGAAGACGAAAATGATATTTTGTATATCAATTTACCAATACAAATAGTTTCTGGCACAAATGGCAATGACATCGGTTATCATAACATATTGCTCAAAAAATTACCTGATGGTAATTATGTTGTTGAACCCAATCAGGTATTTGTAGATAAATGTATTTGAATTAATTATTTAAGCATTTCATAAACAAATTATTTATGGCTAGATAATTTTGCAAGATGAGGATAATTTGCAAAGAAATGAGAGTTATATGTTTAGCAGCGATGTGGAACACCCCCAAGCAAAAGATGTACCAAAAAATATTGGGCTCACTATTTCTAAAAACAGGTAAAATTATTTTAATAGTGACATGCAAATTATGATGCAAAGTCTACATTAATTATGCCATGAAACATTCAATAAGTAGTGCTAATAATTTTTATAAAGCATTAATGAAACATAGTCTTTTGCAATTTAAAAAAAATCTAAATTATTCAGTTTGTTTCTGCAGATAATTTTAATAAGTGAAAAGCATTGAACTAAAGATGCTTACAAAAGAGAAAAAATATGAGTATATAAAATGTTATCATACTAACAGCAATGGCTGAAAATATTTCTGAGACTTAAATGAATTCTGCAAACCACAAAAAATTATCTGTTTGATCTGTATTGTGTATTAATGCTTTGATGTTCTCAGTTTAAAACTGGTTTTAGCATGATTTTGTATATCATATCGTTTACTTTAAATAATATTCTAACATAATATGCATTGTGCAAAGTAGGAAAAATGTATCTGATAATCTGTTAATAATGAATAAATAAGTAATACATTAGAGTACATTAACGACTGTCCAACAGTACATTTGACAAACATAATATGCATATATATATATATATATATATATATATATATATATATATATGTGTGTGTATATATTTGTTCATTTTCAGTAATAAGACACAGAAAAGTTTTGAACAAGAAACATGCAATGAAATATGTCAAATTCCTGAGTGAACTTAATGGATTTGTCTCAGAGGAAAATACTTTATTGCCGGAGAATCACAATACCTTTAAGTATGTGCATGCTTGTTTATATAAATATATAAAGAAAATTCTTTATTTTTATTTTAAACTATGCGATGTGGTTGATTTCAATGTATTGACTATAATCAATCTTCATAACTACTTTATTTAAGTAGTGCGTAATGTAACAACTTATTTTAGAAGAGTTATTACATTTATTACAATCAACTCAAATAATATATATAACCTTCTAATGAAATTCAATGGTTTGATGGCTTAGTTCAGATAACATATATGTTAATACTTTTATATATGGCTGATATTTAATTATGATTATTTTTTCTTCTATTAGTAATTAAATTACTAATAAAATTATATTTTCTTCAGAGTACATAAGGTAGTAGAAGAAACACCTTTAGAGAATAAATATCAAAATAACAAACAAATTCTACAAAAAGGACCAGGAAGACCAAGAAAAGATGGCACTGTAAGACCGCGCATTGAACGATTGGCAAGTATTCACTTGAATCTAGAGTTAATAGGTCATAAAATCTTTCTAGGATCATTTGGAAGATACATTCAATTATTGCTTTGTTTTTTTGTGTTAAATGATCAGTAGCATGTTAAGAAAATAATTAAATACATAATCATAATAATGATTGCTAACAGAGAGCAAATTAAAATTATAATGCAATTTTAAGATTAACAGAGAGCAAATTGAAATTATAATGCAATTTTAAGATTAAAGTGAAAACCTATGTTAAATAACTACTATGATTGTTTTTTTTTTTATCTAGGGTCCATTTCAGTGCTCCTTTTGTGATAAAGAATATGATCTATATGCAGAATTACGCAAGCATGAAAAACAGCATATAAAAGAAAAAACGTATCAATGTTCCAAGTGCAATGCCTCATTTAATTTAATGGTAAAATATATGTATTTGATATTTTTTATATCATGCATTGCTATAATTATAAGAGAATTTTAAATTAGTTTTTTTTATTCTATTTAAAATTTCAAAATTTTTATTATTAGTGTAACTACAGGCTGCATATGGCAACTCATGAGACAGAATTGCATTCCTGTCCAGAGTGTCAAAAGATATTCAGTAGACAAGCAAGCCTTCGAGCTCATCTCATGCTACACTGTGTAGATGACAATATACTTTGCGTTAACTGTGGTGTTTCTGTTGAAACTCAGGTTAGAGAATTTTTAAATATCAATTTAATTTGCAATTCATTAAAATAATTTATTATCATTAATAAAGATGTCTCACATCTAATTTTCTAATCAAAGTTTTATTCCAAGGTGTATCTTAATTTTGTTTCTATGCATTAAATAACAACATGAATTCGTCGCTTCCAAAGCTTCTTTTCAAACCATTATATTTTCTATACAAACCCCTCTATCCAAAATTTGCTCTAAAATTATCAAATATGAAGCATTTTTTGCCGAAGTCTAAAAATTGCATAAAATATTACATGCTAGACAATAACATTATTTATCTTTAACTAATTTAATTTATAATAATATTTATTACAGGCTTTGCTTGAGCAACATAAAAAAGCATGTGTTGAAGAAAAATCTTATCCAGGGAAAGAAAATTTATTAAGTCTTAATTCAGAAAACACTGGTGGTAAAGTAAGTATTTTTTATTTAATTTAGAGATAATATATTTTATAAAGAGTTCTTTATTTTATGTATTCAATTTGTTTTGTCATGTGCCCAATGATATTTTGTGGATCAGATTTAGCAATTTCGGAAATACGACAAAAAAGAGACATGTTAGCCATGATTTTCGTAGACCATGGTTCAATGATAACAGAAATGCAGAAATTTAGTTGCCAAAAAAATGATTATTAGTCATATGTACAAATATTTGCTTTTTGAATAACCTAGGATTCTTAAACCTAATAAAAAAGTTCAAAGTGGCTATCAATATAATATATCTTATCTTGAATAAGAATTTGTCAATATATTAAGGAATGATCTAGTTTCATACAGATCTCTTTTTACATTTCTTTAAATTTATTGACAATCAGTGATATGAAAAGATTTGAAATAACAGCAATAATAAAACTTAATACTTCTATTTTCACATAAAGCACTATTTTTAAGGTAAAAATAAGTTATTTTATGTGTTTGTTCAAAATAGTATACTGTAGTTTACAAGATCTCCCTGCAATAAATATTAATTATTTTTTCATTGCTATTTATGTAAATCTTGTTATTTATTTTTAGAAGACCAATCATGGAAAACTAAAGCATGGGAAAAAATTAAATTGTAGCATTTGCAAAAAGTATTTTAAAAAACCAAGTCAATTAGAAAGGCACTTTCGGTGTCACACTGGTGAAAAACCATATAAGGTTAGTATTAATTGAAAATCATAAATGCATAAAATCTATGTTTTACATAGAATTGTACTATTTTAAGTAATATTATTAAAACAATGTGAAATGATAATTGAAAAGTCACAAGAAAATAAAATATTATTGTATCTGTTGTCAATTATATAATCAAAACATAATTGACTGTTAGTAACTAATAACAATTAGTTTAACTTAAATATCTGTGGAATTAATATTTTAATATTAAATTATAATATATAATTAAACATTACAATATTAATGGTAAGTATTCCTTACTACAATCAATGTTTCAATCATAGATAAGGTTTCAATTTTTGTTCTAAGTTAAATATTTATTTGAAATTTCAGTGCCATATATGCAATAGAGGCTTTTCTCAAAAAGGATCATTGATTATACACAGAGTCAAACATACAGGTACTTTAAACAGATTGATAAATAAAATATTGATAAGCTCAAATAAAATTAGACTGGTTTAAAATACTACATGAAATTTGTTAAAATCTTGTAAAATGTGATTTCATTTTCTTGCAAATATTAATTTGCATGTTTTTCTATACCTAGGGAATGCTATTAATGCCTTGAAATAATTTTGTTATGTAAACAATTTAATGTCGGTATGTAAACTGTTTAAACTGCATGATACATTGAATTTTACAAGAACAATAAATGATTTAATAGAATATACAGAATATAGTAATTCACAGAGATAATCTCTATCATTTAGTTATTACATAATTGAATTTAAAAAAAAAACTCATTGATTGCATTATCACTTTCAAATAATTAGTTATGTATAAATTTGCAGGTGCTAAACCGTATTCCTGTACTTCTTGTCCAGCAAAATTTGCTCAAAAAGGCAACCTTGTAGCGCATCGAAAACGCGTGCACCCAGTCAATATAGAAAGTGTTAAAATAGGTACTCCAAAGAAAGTTTTCTCATGTCAGAAATGTTCTTGTGTATTTAAAAGATTGGGAAGTTTGAATTCTCATATGAACAAACTACATTCACCTGCAGTAAGTAGATTTTAGAACTACTTATTTAGTTAGTACAATATAAATGTTTGAATAAAGTTAACAATCTATTAAGGTTATAAAAATGATTCAGACTTGAAATTGAAATTATATTAATAAAATTCTAAAATTATTTTTTGAGTAGGTACAAAAAATTTGGAATATAATTCATAATACAATTCCATTTCACTAACTTAATTTACTTTTCAGAACATATCGACGACAGAAAATAGTCCAATGAATAACATTAAACTTGTTATGAATCAATTGTCAGAGCTGCAAAATATGACATCTAATATAGATGTTTTACAACAGGCAGTCAACAATAGTGGCCTCGAGAAAAAGGTAACAGTATATTTGAAAGTGTTTATGTTTTATAATACGATTTAATATGATAATCTTCAAAACTTAATTACTTTCAACACTTTACTAATTATTATAATACTTTTTTTATTAATTATTTGTTAATTATTAGTTATTTGCTGTTATTTGTACATATTTATATTCATCAGAGTCCTTGTACAAAAAGCAAATCAAATTCAATTGTTAGGAAGTACTAAATTGCACCTTTCGTAACTTACAAACATTTGGATCAAATATTACTTACCAAATCGTCTACACAACAAATATATTTCTACACCATACTTTTTATACAAAATCACAGTAAAACACAATTATAATTATTTGAATAAAAACGCAAAATATATATATATATCTATATATATATATATATATATATATATATATATATACAATTATTATTTAGCATTTTAGATAATTGATATTTCTAACGGCACTTCAAAAATTTGGCGCACTTCAAGTTCTTATTCAAAAAATTAAAATTGTGTTTTACTGCGATTTTGTATAAAAAGTATGGTGTAGAAATATATTTGTTGTGGTGACGATTTGGTATATATATATTTGATATATATATATATATATATATATATATATATATATATATATATATACATATACAATATATACATATACAATATATGCAAATCATTCCTCTTATATTTCTTACACCCCGCATTCACTCACGTGCCGCGTAACCTTTATTATAATTGGAGGGCAATATGTGCTCCTTTAATTTCTCTTTTATTAATTATATTAGTTATAATATTCTTTTACACAAGTTTAGTGTTCAATAAATTCTATATAATTTTTTTGTGTTTTTCCTGGTTTGGTATGTATATAATTTGTAATAAAATTACTAAAATTATTACCAAATTTTTGGCACCCCAATGGGATCGCTCGAATTTCCCTCATTAGTGGAAATTTCCTTGCAACTAATACAAAACAAAATATTTAAATTATAATAAACAAATCTTTTATTTCCGCTATGTAGACGATATTATTACTTGTATTCTGGAAGAAGACATTAGCATCGTTACTGATAATTTTAACAATTTTAATAAAAAACCAGTTTACTGTGGAATTAGAGAGCTTACTAGACATCAGACTAATACGTACAAATGACCATCGACTAATTACTAACTAGTACCAGAAACCAACCAGCTCCGGACGATACATAAATTACGACTTATACTACCATCTTAAAATGAAAATAGCAACAATAATAAATTTAACAGACCACGTCATACTACTATCTGATAAAAATTTCTGGGACACCAACATTGACCTGGTAATAAGCACACTAAAAAATAACTTATCCTACAAACATAATTAACTCAGTCATAAATAACTGACGCAATTCCCCCACATTTTCAACAAACAAAACGACCTCATCGATCATAAAAATCATTTAGACTTGGAGTCATATACTGGTGTCATTTGCCTACCTACATAAAAGATTTATATTTTTTGTGGAAAAAACTGTTTCAACAATGTGGCATTTTGTTGGTATGTAATTGCGATACAACCCTTAGTTCAATTTTTACACAAATTAAATCTAAGTTTAATTCTGACCGCCTTAGGAACTTGGTATATCAGATTAATTTTCCTAATTGTATCGGAGAAACTAGCCAAAACCTGAGTAAGCGCCTTCATCAACATAAAAATAACTCAACAAATCCGAAGCAATTTAAGACGATGTTAACTGAGCATATTAAATTAAACCATAATATAGATTTTTTCAATCCTAAAATTTTACATTTGTTTTACCATTTGTGATGTTAAAAAATATATATTTTATCAATGTGCACATACTCATACCATGGATTAATAATGGTTTCATATGTTATATTAGGATACAAAATTGTAATTGTTTTATTATTATTATCATTATTATTGTTTTTCTATAAAATTTCTTACATATTATTTATTTAGTTTTAATTTTTATAGTTAAATTGATTACTGCTGAATGAAGGCTAAGATGCTAGCCGAAACATATGGATTTTAAAGAATAAATTACTAAAAAACTCTCATACCATTTTTATTGATATAATGCTCGACTTTTTAACTCAAACTAAACATATATATATATCAACATCAAATTCAAGACTATTCAATATATATATATATATATATATATATATATATATATATATATATGTATATATATATATATATAAGTTATATTGTATATGTGTATGTATGTAATATCTTTTCTGTTGTTTTTTTTTTTGTTAATATTTTTTTGATTTGTTTTTGTAATCAAGTATTGTGCTCCGACCTTAACGTCGCCGAAAGAGGAGCCAGGAAACCATACTGTGAATAACATTACAGTATTTGACAATCTGCATGGTGATAAATTGCGTTGTTATGTTGTCAAGCAACGAAAGATTGGTGGCATCAAATGGCGGCAGTGTAACTACTGTACTAGAGAATTCAGAAAACCTTCTGATCTGATTAGGCACTTGAGGATACATACTAAGGAAAAACCATTTAAGGTTGTGGAAAATTTATATGTATATTTAATAAGTGTTTAGTACTTTGAACTATATTATTTATTGGATTTCATAATCATTTTTGCTTCTTGCATTGCTTGTTGTTTTTTAAGCCGAACATTTTTGATAATTGTAAGTCATTTGGAGGAACATTTCATAAATTCATAAATTTAAACTGAAATATCATAATATTTACTATATTATATATTATAGTAACTATACTGATATTGTAGTTTTGTAAAATATTTGCTCAAAATCATCAAATATTTTTGAAATTTCAGAAAACTCAAAGAATTGAAAATATTCTTTTAAAAAACAAAAATCTATCAAATATATGCAAAAAGATCACACATTGTAAACATTTCAACTATTCTAAAACTTCAAAAAAATCATCATAAAAGTAATCAAGATTTTCCATTACAACAATTTAACGTTAAAATTTTTGAAATAAAAAATTAATAAATAAATAAACAAGTTATTAAAAAAATGTTAAACTTTAAATGAATCATTATTGACAAATTAATTAAATTTCTATGAGCTTTATGAAACTATTGAGACTTCAGGATTTTATTGTGTATTTGTTGATATATTTTAAAATAATTATTTTATTTTACAGTGTCCTCAGTGCTATCGTAGATTTACTGTAAAATCAACACTAACAGCCCACCTTAAGACCCATACTGGATTGAAGACTTTTGTGTGTCCTATATGCCAGAAACTTTTTTCATCATCATCAAGTTTAAAAGTACACACGAGGTAATTTTCAGTAATATATTTAACAAAACAAAAACATTTTCAGCTAAGTTTTTATTAATGATATGCCAAATACCGATTCGATTCACATGATTTGAATATCTCTTATGTAATTGTGGCTCAAATTTCATAAGGTTACAATGCCAATTCATCACAATCAATATTTTGTTTTACATATCCTAATCTACTAAAACATTACCTTTATTAAATTTTATTTACTCAATAAGCTTATAAACTGACAGGTTACATACCGGAACGAAGCCTTTTATATGTCGTGAATGCGACAGGTCATTTCGTACATCGAGCCAACTCCAAACACATTTCGCTACAAATTGCACGAGCGATAATAATCCGAAAATATGTGATCAGCAGATTGTTGAACAGACTTCAGGTAAACAAAGTGTCTGTTTTATCTACATAACTCTTGTTTACTCAACTCATGGATTGAATAAAATATTTTTTAGCCTGCATTCTTAAATCAATTTTAAGAATTCGAGAACTGTTTGATAGATATTAGTTGAGAATCGTGCTGATTAGTTTTTGGTAAAGATCGGACGGGCCGTTTCTTTGAAATTAGCTGTTGAAATTTTTGTTTGACAAATTTTTTGGAATTTAATATATGGTTCACATTATTACTGCATCAATTTTACTCTTTCTATATGTGTATTTTTATTGTAATTTTATATTTAAATCTATGTTCTAAAACAACGATTTTTTTTAAAATAATTAATTATTAGGAACAATATACAATTGCAACAAATAAAAAATTACAAAATTACAAAAAAGAGGACAATTGCACTAATCAAGATTTAAATCAGAATTTTAATTAGAACACACTAAAATATTACGGTCCTACAACAAGTCCTTTAATTTTAGGGTTTTATCAAAGTTTAAAAAAATGAGCAACTCTTTTTTGACGTGAGACAAAATTAGTCCTTTCATCGACGTTTTCTCAAAATACGGATGAACTCATTTTAAAAATTTAAAAGCCATTTTTCCATAATTGATTAAAAAAAAATAATAGAGTACATGGTCTTAAAATTTTGATTAATCGGCCGCGCTTTTAGAAAATATTCCGTGTATGTATTAGGCATATGTGTTCCTTTTTCAATAATGTGTAATAAAAGAACTTCTTCAAAATTGAATAATCTGCAATAGTTTCTATTATTATGACGCTCTATGGCAACTTTAAATCTCTCATAAGTTAATATATTGATTTCATACTAATTGTAAGTTGATTATTTATACATGCCGGGAAGTGCATACAACTTGCCTTGAGGCAAAATGCCACTTACAACTAGTTATATTATTAATTACTTGCATATGAACATGAGAGAAATTTAATAATTTAATATCTTATTGGCTGATGAATAAATTCATTTGTATAGTTTGCAATAATATATTCTACTTTGTATAATATCAATTGTTAATTATTGAATTTACTTACTAACTCCAAACCTTATTCTGGGTTAGCAAGTTTATGATATTAACACAGTTTAATTTTAGATATTTATTGAAATTATTATCTCATAATTATATTTTAACATCTTAATATCTCAACAGAAATCGAAGAGGCTAAATTCAATGATATCAGTTCCAGTGAACACTATTATATTTGTACAACTTGTGGCAGGTAATAATTAGCTGAATCGTAGATTTATTATTTAACTTGATCTCAATATTGTTAAAGTCGTAGATACATAAACAACAAATACACTCTAATTTCTGGATGTTTTTTTTTTATAGGAGCTTTCATGATGAAAACATTCTAAATGATCATCTGTTGACGCATACGTCATTAGATACTTTCAAATGTTTGGTTAGTAATTGTTCAATGTATTTCAATACTGCGTCTGCTTTAAAAATACATATGGAGAAACATAATGAGGTTAAATATTACATTTGTCCATCATGTCCAAAAACCTTCAAAACGAAAGTTAATTGCCGCGAACATAGGGAGCTGCATAAGGAAAATGAAAATCTTGTAAGTATTTTATTTGTGGGTACTTCTACATTTCTACTTTTTCTGATATTTTTATTAAGGTTTGCTTTTTTTGCTATAGAACGTTCTGGTATATTATACATTATTACTGCATCAATTTTACTCTTTCTATATGTATATTTTTATTGTAACTTTATATTTAAATCTATGTTTTAAAACGATTTTTTTTTAAATAATTGATTACTAAATGATTTTTATACGGACCTGTTTTGTTTTGTAGGAACAATATACAATCGCAACAAATACAAAATTACAAAAAAATTGTGAATCGATACAAAGTCAACCCACAGCTTTCACACATTTTTTGATTACTTCAAATGATAATATAATTACCACTAAACAAGAAAAATGTGTTGAAAATATGAAAGAGGACAATTGCACTAATGAAGATATAAAACAGAATTTTAATTCAGCTCTATTAGACCATGTGTTGCCGATAAGCAATTGTATAATGCTGCCAAAAGATTTAAATATTATTACTAAAAGTGATCATTATTCTGGGGAAAGAGTTGTTATTGATAATACTTCAGCAAACTTATTTCAAGTTTCTGGAATTTTGCAATCTACAGAAGGCACAAATATGCAAAATGTAGTATCAGTCAAAAGTGATCCTAATATTAGTTTAAATGATTATTCAAATGAGGATACTAGTATACCACTGTTCACATCCAACAATCAATCAACTTTGTTGGTCACCACAAGTAAGATTTAATATTTAGTATTAAGTTAAATTAGGTTTTTATTAACAAATCAATAAATTCAGTATACAGTAGTAATACTTCTTTGTTGTCCTAATTTCAATTATTGTGAATTTTTAGAATCTTTAAATGATCAACCTGTTAATGCACTGAGTAATATGAATGCTAATGCTCAAGAGGTAAATAGATTTTATGTTGTATTTATTTTTGCCATTAAATCACCTAATTTTTAATCTTAAAATTTATTTGAAAGATGTCATCTATGTTGAAGTTAATTTAATTTCAATATAGATGTGTGCTCAAATATTATTTAAAAAAAAAATTATTTATTACGTTATAATATTTTGTTTATTAAAATCATATTTTAACATTTTTCTTTTTTTTTATTAACATGCTTGTTTTCTAGAATGTGGCCTCATATTTAATCAGTAATTTACAATATTCAAACCAGAATTCTACCAACAACGATGAAGAAACTGAGCAAAATGCTTCACTCTGCAAATACTTTAATGAAAATTCAGTTAAATCACCTGTTAGTGTTATCACAAATAATATATTACTAAAAAACCTGATGGTAAATTTCCAAAATCAATTTGATATTTTATGTCTTGATGATCAAGGGAGCTCATTAGATATTTTGGGAGAAGAAAACTGCATTCAGGACGAACAAAATTATATTTCAGAACAACAAGATCAACTGATTCTATCGCCAGCATCACCTTCATTCACACACTCTTGTGTTGTAAGTGAAAAATGTAATATTACTAAATATTTACATCTATATGATTTCTAGAAATCTATAGAAAGAATTATTATAGAATGTATAAAACAGTTATCATTATTTTTAAATTTCAGGATGATGTTCAACCAGTTGATTTTAGTTGTGGCAACAGAGAATCTAGTGAGGTATTTATAATGATTTTATTGAAATAATTCTGTATTTATAATTTTCTTAAATTTTTAGCAAGTGGAATGCCAAAATGATCAAATTGATGAATTTGGTGAAAATGTTCAATGTACCGAAAATGTTCTGTAAGTTACAAATTGCTTCAAAGCATTTTATTCTATTTTGGAAATTAATGAATTTTACATCAACTTGATTTTGTTGTTTGTTTTTAAATGTTGCAACAATATATAATTCCATTTGTAAAATGAAAGAGCATTCATGTTTTCATTTATTAAAAAAATAGATTTCTGGTTTTACCTTGCAACTTCTAATTTGTTTCTGTAATATGCTAGAGGCAGTTTTCACAAGGTGACAAAAAATTCATGACATGAAATTTCAATTAAATGATATCATCTGAATTCAAATTGTATCAATAATAATCATAGGGCTAACTGAAATAGATTACAAATTTAAATCAACAAATTCGACATAATACAGGACTTATTGAAAAATTCCTAAATAATGCAATTGAAGCAAAAATACAGTTGAAGTTTTAGTGATAAATCAACCAGGATAATTTTTTTTTCTTAGATATTAACAACACTAAGTTTATTATTTCAAATATCTATAATTATTTTCAGTAATTTATAGTATATAAAAAAGCACTCAAAATTTCAATTTAATATTGTTTTCATTATATATTTACAAAGCTGAGAGAAGCTAAAAAGTAATATAGTGTGAAATTTTAAGTATACATTGGAAAAAATTTGGATGTATGACAATATTCTTATATAGTATTCAGACATGATTCAAATATATTTTTTATGTGGTTTGTAGACAAGAAACATCCGAAAATGACATGGGCAGAGGAAGAAACATGGAGCCTCAATTTGAAATGAAATATGTGCCTGATATTGAAGACAATTATAGCACAAACTCATTAAGAACATTTTCACCAAATGTCAATGAAAATCAATTAGATGAAACAGGTACAGATTCAGATAAATATATAAGATGCAAAACTAAAAATCTTAGTGCATCAGAGCAAGCATTTCTAGACTACATTAACAATCAGGTAATATTTTTATATTTCTGATAATTATTGTAATACAATAATATAATATAATATTGCTGGAAACATTAAAAAATTCAAACTGATAAATTAGTACATTCTAAATTTTATTGAATAATATAATGTGTTATGCGTTTTAGAAGATTTTAATTTAATATGTTTTAAATGTGTTTAATTTGTCAATATTTCATAATTTATTCAAAATCGGGTGTTGATAGGAGTCATTTATTCAATGTAAATCACTTGCAATAAAATGAAAACTGCATAGATATTCTTAATGGTTGTACGTTTTTTAATTTTATTTTGGAAAGCTAAACTTCGAAAAATATGTAAATGCTGATTTTATACAAATGTATATTCTTATCTCTCACTAAAAGTCAAAATAAATTTACATGATTCACTTCTTGAATGTTATTTTAGTTTCTTTGCCATTTGAAGTCATTGAGAATTTGTACCTGTCACAAAACTATGTAAAGATACAGCTATAAATAATATTAGGAAAAGTTTGTATTTGTTTATGGTTGCAAATGTAAACGCTAATTTTTCTTTAGTCGACATTTTAACAAATTACCATTTGATAGAACTCAATAATGATTATGGTTTATATTGCTATTCAGTTAGAAGAATATTAAATGATAATACCTTGCTATTATCTAATTTACCAATTTTACTGGTTTAATCACTAGTTTTGAGTATAGGTTTTTAATCACTCACATTCTTGTTTACATCTTGTAGTAAAATACATACTAATCTTGGAGTATAATTTAACAGATTATATGAGAGTCCATAGTGTTTTGAAAAAAGATGATTGGAAATAAGCAGAAATATGAATATATGAATATAAATTTTAATTTATCTTGTAATATGCTATTTATCATATGTTTTGCAACTACTTTCGACATAATTTAGCTATTCTTATTCACTCTTTTGATAATCAATCATATTTAATTTATTTAATTGGTATCAGTTTTGACTATTAAGTTAAGAGAATTACAACTTGTATATTACATAGACTAACTAAACAAGCGTTTTGACAGTCTTAATAATACTGTTGAAATTTTTTTTAAATTCGAGATTTAGTTTTTTTTTGCATTCATTAATTTTGATTATACTAATTTCCAGAAGTATTTTCAGTAATGTTACATGAAACCTAACTATTTTATTACTAATAAAATTTTGAAATTATCTACCACCTATTCACAAATTTCAGCTCTCACAAAATTTTTATTTAATACTTTTAAAATGTGAAGCTCCAGAAATTTATAACTCAATGCCTTTTACTAATTTATTAGTGGATATTAACGCTAGTGTGACAATATATTAATTTCTTTTGCAGCACAAAGTAATGACATTGAATAACACGGCACAGCATCCAAATAAATGTTCTTATTGTGTGAAATCATTTAAAAAACCATCAGATTTGATCAGACATATCCGTGTGCATACAGGTGAAAAACCGTACCCATGCAATGTATGTCATAAGAAATTTTCACTAAAAACATCTTTGGATTGTCATATGACTACCCACAATAAGTCAAATAAAACAGTAGTTTGCAGTGTCTGTAATAGTTCATTTAGCACCAAAGGAAGTCTGAAGGTGCATATGCGATTGCATACGGGTGAGCTGACTTTAATTAATTAATCTACAGCATACCTAATGTGACTAATTTATACTATGTAATATGTACTCACAATGTATCAAACATTTATATACATTTTTTTTTTATTACACTCTAATTGCCCAATAGATACTCACACTTTAACGAAAACAGTTTTATTCAAAATTTTTGTATAATTTTATAGCTAATTTATAAAATTTATCATGTTTTGGATTATTTAAATATTCATCTTGGATATGGATATATCTTTTGAAAGAAATGAATACTCTATAAACATTTTTATAGGTTCTCGACCATTCGAATGCCCTTTATGCAAAATGACATTTAGAACTTCTGGACATAAACGAGCTCATCTTCTAGTTCATTACAGAGGAGCCACCAGAGAAGGCAAAAATCCTAAAGGTACATTTGAAATACTTCATGATCGCATTGTGGATGGGGCACTTCTACTTCCTATTTGATGACTGTGACCCTAAAATTATGAGATTTTCATTTTTATGAAATGCGATAATACCATTAGTGAAATAGTAACTAATATGCATTCTGAATTATGATGTATAAACTTAGTGATACATGGCAACTATAACGATGCAGCTTAAATAGTAAAGCTTCATTTGATTTGATACTATATGATTATGCCTTTATTACATATTAAATATAACTTTATAATAATCAATATTATATAGTTAATTGGTGTTTCTACGATTTTATTTTCTTGTGAAGAGTTCATGATATATGTTTGTTTGCGAGGTAGTCATTTTTCTATCTATAACAAACTGCGCAAATTTGTTTTGTAAACTGTACATTTATTTCAGTTTATTTATTTTTACAGATATAATTACTAAAGGGAATAAGGTATTGAATATTATGGGACCACTTACAAGTAACATCAGCAATTATTCTCAAACAATTGAGAATGCGCAAATTAGTGATCATGAAGCTGTTAGTGGCCTCAACTTTGGCGAAAATGCTGAATATTTATGTAAAAATTTGGATGTACAGTTGCTTCAAGGCTCTTTTGAAAAATCAGTTTCCACAAAAGATTCTGTCTTAAAATTCAATACAATAAGTGAGCAAATATTGGCAGATACAACATCGCCAAAGAAACAGGTATCTAATATATATATTTAATTTTTAAACAATAAAATAAAATGATCATATGCTAAACAAACACACTTTCTTTTCATTTGCGCTTAATAAAGGTTATTTATTGTGTAGGTTTAGATTCAATTATAATAAATAAGAATTTGTCATATAGGATTATTTACATATAGCACATATATAAATATATACATATATATATATATATACATATATACATATATGTATATGTATGTATGTATATATATATATATATATATATATATATATATATACTTCTAAGTCTGTTTTTACACGGTAGATTGGTTCCAGAAGAAGCCGTGTAAAAAAAAAACGTGTAAAAAAAGACATTGATCTTATACAAAAATGGGTGATTTGTTCCTAATCTCTAAAACCTATTAAAATTAGTGAAAAACAAGAATTTTTAAGAACAAGAATTCATGTTTATTTTATTAAATCAAATATATAATGCTTATTTTCACAAGCATAGTAATTAATGATAAAAAAGATATGCACATAAGTAAATTTTATTGTATGCACATAAAAGGAATTCCCCTAAATTATTGCTATTCACATTTGCTTTGACCAGTAAAAATTGTTTGTACGCGCTAAAGGGGAATTCACTTAAATCTTTAAGCTAGTGTTCGCAAACTATTGATACTATAGATGGTTTCAGACTTTTTTCTTTCATAAATACTTTTTTGTGATATGAACATACTTCGCAAAAATTAAATTTGACAAAAAAAATTTAAGTACATAAAATTTCAAGTCATGCTAAATGGAATAAAATCGTGTAAAAAAATTAAAAATATTCAATTTTCAAACCGTGTTATATCAAAACCGTGTACAAAAAGACCGTGTAAAAACAGACTTAGGTGTATTCAATTTTCAAACCGTGTTATATCAAAACCGTGTACAAAAAGACCGTGTAAAAACAGACTTAGGTGTATATGTATATATATAAAGTATACACAAGCAGACATTTTATATATTTCTAAGTAAATGCAAATATTATGAGATATATTAACTGAGGTTAAAATATTTAAAGTTATCATTCCAAATACATATAATTTAATAAACATACATATATATGATGTATGTATGATAGTGTTTAATCATTAAAAAAATTAAATTTGTTTATAATAGATTCAGAAGAAGTTACATATGCAGCAATGTGATATCTGTGATAAAACTTTTAAGAAGCCTTCACAATTAATGAGGCATAAGTTGATTCATACTGGGGAACGGCCTTTCCAGTGCAACGTGTGCTCTAAAACATTCAATCAAAAAAATGGATTGGATACTCACATGAGGTAATCAGCACATACCATAATATTAGTGAGCTATAAAAATTATATAATTATTATAACAATAATAAGGCCATCAATGCATTCAAATTATAATTTTTTAACCAACTAAATAATCTCAAAGTGTATATGTACTTAGTAAGGAATACTAATATCCCTCTAATTCAGGTTTATATCTAATCAATTATCTACATGTAGATAGATAGATAAAAATTGATAAATGAAAAATTCTAATGTGAACAAGTGCCGACCATATAAAGATTGAAAAAAAATTGCTGGGTAGAACATGTTATAAAGATAAACATTTTTTTGGCTTTGGCTAATGGCGCTTTTATGGTTGTTCAATTTCAGTCGATTCGGAAATCTTATAGTTGTATGCACTTAAATAATATTATACATACAATATAAATTATACAATGTACAATTTTGATTATTTTCAGACATCATACTGGTCTTCGTCCTCATGATTGTCCTTACTGTTCCAAAAGCTTCTCTCAGAAGGGTAATTTAAAAACTCACATTATCAGGTAAATTTGTGTTCAAATTTACACTTTATGAAGTTAGAAAATTGCCTTTGACTTTCTAAATTTTTGATTACTGTTACAGCACATTTAGTAATCCTTTGAAAAATTATTACATTAACAGTTTTGATTACTCAGATTGCTATTATAGCTCTCAGAACACTCAGTTTATTTTTATATTGATTTTTATTCACCAGATTCAGAATTATATAAAATAATTAGAGA